AAGATTCCATTAAAAAGTTGAAAAGCATTCTGAAGTTTTGAAGATCATGATTGATATTTATTGGCACTTTGGAAGATTGGGAGTTCAAGAAGGAACTCAATTGTTTGCTGCTTTGCAAAGGGCTATGTGTAGCAATATGCATCATGTGGTCCTTAATAAGTGTAGTGAATTGTGCATGCACCCTACAGCTAACATTTCTGCTACATCTTCACAAGCAGTTATCTTCAGAACCATACACATCTCTTTGTCAGGCATTTCAAGTTTTTTCTCCATGGGCATTTTGTTCCTGATGTAGAGACCCCCTATTGTTTAAAATCTGATTATTTAAAATGCCACTCATGCCAAGGAAGTGTATATAAGAAGTTTTCTACAGAACTTAAAGTATCTGAGTGTTTAAGATATTACACCTGTGGCTAGAGAGAAGGCTCAGCTGTTAAGAGTATATACTATTCTTCCAGAGGACCCTAGTTTGGTTCCCAGCACCCATGTTGGTGCCTCACAACTATCCCTAACTTCAGGGGATCTGATGCCCTCTTCTGGACTCTGTGGACACCCGAAGTCATGTGCACGTTTCCCCCCTTTAACACATAATTAAAAATAATAAAATATTACTGCCAACGAGTTGCATAGTTAAGAGTATGTCTAGAGAGATGAATCAGTCTGTAATGGAAGTTCCAGGCAGTTTGGCATCCTGAGTGTATTCTTTCTAGCAGTGGGGGCTTTTGCAAATCATGTATTGATGGTTGTGCTCTGAACTAGCAAGACTACCTGTATCTGGTAGCTTACTCTACTTTAATTAAAACTGTCACATATATCCATTTTTTGAGGTGTATGTGTCCCGTCCCATCCCTGCCCCCCCCCCCCCACTGAACTGAACTAGGAGCCTGCCATATTTAACCCCTGAATCCCTGGTACAGTACCTGAAAATAAGTTTGCATTGCTAAACTTTTTTGTTTCATATTTTCATTTTCATAAAATTATGATTTACTTCCCCCAAGCATTAACTGGATAGTAGCCAGTTAGTAAAGTATGAGAATTAGAAGGCAAAAGGAGAGAGATAAATTGAAATTATTTATTAAAAACTACTTGAAGGCTGTTCTATAATAGCTTGGTATACTGCATGTACTTAGCACATGAAAGGCCCTGGGCATAGTCCCCAGCACCGGCAATAAATGAATAAATACACAGAAAACTGTTTGATAATTTTGGTACCTTCAATTACATCTTTCCTACCATGCTAAGTCACATGAAGTAACTTCCTAATGATCATTTGTAGTTTCATAGTTTTATCTTGAACTTGAATGTTGTGTTACTGTCCAGAAAATTCTTTGGTATGAATGTGCTTGATATTCAGGTTGCATTTATACTTACAGGATTTGTTTTTACTTTCTTTTTAAAGAAAACTAAACTGAAGAAAATCACATTTTACTCTGGAAGACTTACTGACCTGGATGACCTAAAATATGAAATGGATTGTGGATTTCACAAGAAAATCTCAGTTTGTGATGATTACATTTCTTTTTTGTCCAATAGTTTTGTTTATAGATATATATATATATGTATTCTTTGCACTACACAAATGGTAACATTTTAAGGACTAATATTGCTGATACTTGAAAAATCAATCATAGTTAGGTTTTAAGTGGCATACATAGACTTACTCTTTTTGAGCTTGAAGGACATTGAGTTATTAATTATTGTTTAGTAACATGTTTACCTGATTTTCTCCCATAAGAAATATAAACTGCTTTTATAAGGCACTGTTATGATTCTAAGATAAGATTTATAATATTTACTTTTCTAAATTAAACACAAGAAAGAATTCAATACAAGAGTAGATTTAAATAAGGTTAAATCAATTTTGTATCAGTCACTGAACTGTCAGCCAAGTAGCAGAAAACCAATGGAAGAATCCTCTACGTTTTTTTGTGGTCTTCAGAGTCTTGGGATTTTACAACTCAGAAAATCATTGTCCTTTGTACTGTGGTTACTTTTTACAAATGATTCATTGAACAGACTTGATGATGGAAATGGAGAATAGGCCTAATGTATGTGTTAAAGTATGTTCCAAGCTGACACTGAGAACTAATCAGATTTTAATTCAATCATACATACACTCTTACTCCTTTGAAATCATTTTTCTTTAAGTGAGGATATCCAATGTCTGCTTCATAGGGTGCTTTGCAATAAAATGAGAACTTATTTATACTGTTTTTACTAAGGAAAAATGCATGAAAATCCATTTTTTTCTGCAAGTGGTAAACTCCAGTTTGGATTCTTAACCTCTTAGTGCCTCAGGTTTTCCTTTGGGGTGTACTCACAAGGTATTAGAAGGACTTTAAATATACAGGCTATCTGTGTCCACATAATTAAGGAATGCCTGAATGCCTGACTAATGGAAACTTAAGTTCCTTCTGGCCATTAGACCAAAAGGAAAATTAATTTAGATCCTAGAAGACTGTATTTGAAAAAAATCCTTCTTGTATACTTTCCAAAACCTGTGCTCACTCATATACCTTATGCTTTGAGGATGTAATTTAAAAACTTCCTAGCAAATCTCCCCTTTTTTCCTTTTGAGACAGTCTCAGTAGTAGCTCATGCTGGCCTACAATTTATATGTAGCTAAAGATGACCTTGAACACTTGATGTACCGGTCTCCACTTCTCTCCAGTTTCTGGGACCACAGGCATGTACCACCATGGTTAGCTTTGTATAGTTAAAAAAAAAAAAAATTAATGCATTCTTGATGTATATGATGTTGGGGGTATTAGCATTAGGTATTGAATATTTTCAGTAAGAGTGAAAGAATCCCTATCTAGTATATACGGTTGTTCTTTGAAGAAAAAAGTATAAGAACATGATTTGCTTGTCCCAGATTTCTCAATTTTTTTCTTTTCTTTTCTTTTTTTTTTTTTTTTTAACTGTACTTAGTTTTTAAATTGCATATCACATCTTGGTTGATCTGTTTTAAAGGAGCTACTAGTATTTGCTTGAGATACAAAACAAACCAACCCAAATCTATCTACTTATGTAGAAGGAAAATAAAAAAGCAAATAACTGAATTATCATAGAGAGAGTGTGGATCAAGAGTTTATTTTTTTTTTAAATTAGACAAGTTGATATCATAAAATGATGGCTTTTTTTCCTTATATAAATAAAATGCAAATCAAGGATGTAACCAGTTGTGATTCATTGCAAGTAGTCAAGGTAACTAACTCCTAAGGGCAACCATTTGTATCTTATACCAGAATTACTTTATAATTTGAAAAGCACTTTGCACAGTTCTTGTATATAAAAGATGTAATTATAGGATATAATGGTAATGCTTTAAAACATAAACCTCATTTTAAAAATCAACAGCTATGATATTTTTTTAATGATCAGCTTTTCTGTTTATTGTAAAACTAAGTTAAAAATAAAAGGTTAATGAGAAATGAAATGGTTTTTTTTTTATTACTGGTTAACTGTATTAATGTGTACAAAGCTAAAATGAGTGCAAATAATAGGAGTTCATATAAAGTAATCCTGAGTGGCAGGCAGGAGATACAGCTCTTCCACATGCCAAGCATGTGAGGTCCAAGGTTCAGTCACCAGTACCACAGAGAGAAGAAATTAATGAGACTAAATAAAACCATATTATGTGTAATTTGATGAAAATTTCAGAAGTGAATTCAATTTAACTCATTTGGGTATTAGTAATACAGTTTAAAAATGAGGTAGGGTTTTAGTATGTAGCTCAGACTGGCTTCAGACTTGAAGCAGTGCTCTTGCTGCTTACAAAGGACAAAGGAAAGTCATTTTAATTTTCCATAGATGTGAAGCTGGGGATGTAGAGGTATAGAGTAATGTTTGCTTGGATTCCCCTGGTGCTGTCTCTTGGCTCACAGTAGAGTTGTCTCCAGTGAAGGAGAGTTTATTACCTACCTGTGTAAGGAAGGATAGAGAGGACTAGCCTGTGTTTTCTGTTTGAAATGCCTTTAGCCCAAACTGTTTATGCGAAAGAGGCATATTTGGGGGTGGCATTCTTATTCAGATGAGTTGATTTCTGTAGGGGACAACCAAGATCATTTATCTCCTTGTTTTGGTTTCTCTTTAACAAGAGTCTGAATGTAGCTTCCCAACAGGTGTAAATTTAGATGAGTCATTTATTCTCAAAAAATACCATTACAACATGCTTTACCTAGTAGCAGAATTTTAGGTGACTCTAGCTGCATATGCCATGTCTGTGATAGCAAATTGTAGTTTTCTACTCAATTTTATTTATTTCTACTAATTTTATGTCAACTTGATACTAGCTAGAGTTATCTGAAAGGGGGGAACCTCAATTGAGAAAATGCCTCTGTAATATCTGACTGTAGGGCATTTTCTTAATTAGTGATTGATGAGGGAGGGCTCAGACCATTATGGGTGGTGCCATCCCTGGATAGCCCTGGGTTCTATAAGAAAGCAGGCTGAGCAAGGCATGATAAACAAGCCAGTAAGCAGCTCTCCTTCATGGCCTCTGCATCAGCTCCTGCCTCCAGGATCCTGCCCTGTTTGCGTTCCTGTCCTGACTTCCTTTGATGATGAACAGTAATATGGAAGTGTAAGCCAAATAATTCCTTTCCTCTCCAACTTGCTTTTTGGTCATGGCATTTCATCACAGCCATAGAAACCCTAAGACAGGGTCCTGTCTTCTCTGTTAGAAATAAGTCCAATTCAGTAATATTTCAAGTTTTAGTGTTTTTGAGAGTGCATGTGCCCATCCCATAGTACATGTATGGAGGTCAGAAAACAGCTTACAGTTCTCTCCTCACTGTGTGGTTCCTAGAGACTGAACTTGGGTGGTCAGGATTGCTGGCAAGTGCCTTTACTCATTGAACCATCTTGCTGGCCCTAGTTTTTGTTTTCCAGAATGTTCTAATTACTCATTCATGTATGTCCCATTTAGTCAGGTGAATAAATGATATGTATTAGTTATTTTTCTATTGCTGTGATTAAGACAACACTACCAAGGCAGCTTATTAAAAAAACACTTTATTTGGGGCTTATGGTTTCAGGGGTAGAGTTCACGATGGTGGAGCAGAGGTAGCAGGCAGCATCTGAACATTCATATCTTAACCATAAGCAGGGACAGCATACTGGGAGTGACCTGAGTCTTTTGAAACCTTAACGCTCACCCTTAGTGACATACTTCCTATTCTTCCCAAACAGTTCCACCAACCAGGGACCAAGTATTCAAACATGAGCCTTATGGGGGCCATTCTCATTGAATCCATCACAGTCAAAAACAACACTGCTGGAACCTTAGGTTAAATAACCATGAAAGGAGAAAGAATTCTTTTTTTTAATTTTAATTTTTTATTCTTTACATTCTGTACAGACAGGTAAAATAAAACATAAATGTGCAAAGTGTTGATTCGCTATCAATGAAAAAACACCACCAACTACTATGAAAACAGGCCAACTTATGAGAGAACCAAAAGGTAGAAGAAAACGTTTTTACATCTATGAAAAGAACTGTTTCTCTTCTGTGTACTTATACAGAGCACACTGTTTCTTGGAATAAATGTATCTCTGTCTATTCAGCCATCCACTGACATACTTTTTTGTCTAGAGTCCAGTGCTTTCTTCATGTAGCCCAGGCAGGTCAGGACCTCTCAGTAGTTCACAGCAGAATTTCACTTTACTATAGCCAACTGTCCCAGTAATTTGCTTTAAGAAACCACTAGGGGTTTGCTTCCACAGACTCATTTTTAACTAACTGGGATCCAGAGCTCTCAGAGGCCAGGCCTCCTTGGACTCCTAGTTTGTTAATCTGGCTCTGTTTATTCTAATTCTACAAAGGAATTGGTATTTGTGTGTGTTACTGGAGATTGAACCCAGGGTCCTATGCACACTAGGTAAGTATTCTCTACCTCCAGCCTCCAAAGTAATTATATTAATGGCCAGTATATTAGTGCTTAATATTAACCTGCCCATGGCATTTTGATGTGTTAGCACAATTGTTTAACCTTAACCTTTTTTTTTTTTTATTTCAAAGGCTTTTTTCCCCTGCTACTTGAAAACACTTTAAAAGGATGATAGATTGAGCAAATAGCCTATAGAATATGCTATTACCTGAAAGTGTGACTCACTTTAAAGAAAGTTGTAGTAACTGTATTTTGAATATTTTTATTTAAAAAGGTGACTGGAAAATTTAAGTAGTCATTACTAAAATCAGCAGAGTGAAACCTTTAACCCAAGAATTCCATACCCAGCACCAGTTTTACTGTAATAGATTTAGACTTGTCTCATCTTTGCAAACTGTTATATCTGGGCTGTGACTAGATGAGAAATGAAAGTAGAAACACTAAAGTCAGTGTGCAAAAGGTTATTAGCAAAACCTTACTATGATACATTTAAATCTTAATTTTGCTCTTCTAGGGAAATGCTAAAAGCCTCAACTAGTTTAAGATAAGACTTGTGAGCTGATTCGTAGTACAGTCTTTGAAAAGAATGATGCTGACAATCATTAGTTAGAATTACTAAACAAAAGTAGATTATTACTATTTGTCTTGATGTTAGAAATAAGATGTAAAGTATATTTTTTTCTATTAAAACTGAACAAGATATTAAGATTTCTTAAAGTGTCACATCCAACCTTTCTAGAACTCTTAAACAAACAGGAATTGTAGAGGGAAGCATCAAAAGCAATCAGGTAGCAAAAGCAAAATTCTATCACAAGGAAGGTAAGCTAAACCCTTAAAACCTTAGTTCTTTTGTCTAGACTGCACTCTGCAAAGTTATACTACTGAATAATAGTTTTCCAGCTACCTTTTAAGTTTTGCAAGACAGGGTCTCACTATGCATTCCTGACTGGTCTCCAGCTCAGAGATGGACCAGGCTGGCCTTAGTCTTGAAATTACAGTCATGCTCCTGGGTTGTGTCTGCCTCCTGAATATTGGGACTTCCAGCTTGCATTAGCATGTCTGGCTCAAATGATTTTGATAGTTATGTATTATCTTATATGACTGCCCGAAGATCACAGTTTTGCAGGCAACCATGTACAAATACATTAAAAATAAATGAAATCATCTTTTTTTGTTTGATATTAACACCAAAGTGAACAGAACAATGAAATCAGCAGATATAGACAAGCGTATGGCTCCTTCCCTCTGTAGAGAGCAGTAGTGTTGTTTTAGGTTACTGATACATTAGTCTTCATAAAGTGCAGTGAATAAATAAGATAATAAGATGAAAAAAGCTGTGATTTATATGTAGTTTAAGGTAAAGATAAATTACATATTGCATTTCAACTCTGTAAAAGCTGTTGTATTTAGTAATTAAAAGCTCATTAGCCTAGGTATAATAATGACTTCTATCCTGTTAGATCAACCTAGTGTGAAGGAACATGTGATTATAAAACCTAATTCTATATCACAAGGTTAGGTAAAAATGACATGTGTGTTCTACAGACTAAACCCAGATATGGTCAGATGCTGAGCATTATTCCTGGCTTCAAAATAGGATGTATCTGTTTCATCATCGGGTTGGGGTACAAAAGGCATTGTTTGGTGCTGCAGATTTTCCCAGTCCACTTCACTGAAGAGAGGATGATGTTTCAGTTCTTAAGGAGGAAAAACGTAAAAAACCAAAAACAACATTATAATACTTAAGCTCTGCTTTCAGGAATTAAAAAGAGAAAGTTTTATATATATCTTGCCCTACTTTATTATACCAGTTATCACTGATATTTGTTTAATGTGTGTCTCCCTATTAGACTACATACTTTGCATTGTATCATTTTGCATATCACCTGGTATATTAGGGGGCCTGGTTTATATTTGTCTAGTAAGTAAATAAATGGACAGTAGAAGTGGATTTTCCTGATGCCATCACCTTCTCACACAATCTCTCATTTTAAGACAGTCTGGCTTACTTCCCTACCTCTGGAGCTCATATGACTAATGCTCCAATTCTCATTTTACCTCCTCACCTCCCTGTCACATCATGGCAATCTTTAAGCACCATGAAGTTCCTTTTTCACTCTTTGTTTTCTATACTTTATCTTCTTTCATGCTGATTCCACATACACACTGATGATGACTGGCTGTAATATTTAATTTACTGTCCTATTGTTTCTGGTCTTTTTATGTGTCTGCAATAAGGTCTCACTGTAGCCCAGGCTGGCCTGGAACTCACTGTGTAGCCCAAGTTGAAAGTTTTTACAGTCCTCTTGCTTAGCCTTATATGGGTTTACAGGCACGGACCACCATGGCTTGGCCCTGGTCTTTGATGACATTTCTCTCACATTCTCTCCATGTCTCTTTCCCTTACTTGGTTCCACTGACTGCATCCTTAGCATTTACTAGCTAGCACTGCAGGTACGTCGAGAATCTTTCCATCACAACACTCCTGCTTGTAAGATGTCAGACTCTTCACTTTTTGTTTGTTTTGTTTTGAGATAGGGTCTCTATGTAGTCCTGGTTGTCCTGGAACAGGTGTCTGTATAGACCAGGTTGGCCTCAAACTCTGCCTGCCTCTGCCTCCGGAGTACTGGGATTGAAGGTGTGCACCACCAGGCCTGAATCCTCTTCACATTTTTCCCTATTACTTCTACCTCCTAAAATAAAAACATGCTCACTTGTTTGACTAAACTGTGATATTTAATTGCTAGAAATAAGCTCCCCTTTAATCTTTTACTGTTTCTTCTTTGCAGTGCTGGTGACTGAACCCAAGGCCACGCGCACACTGTGCAAGTGTCTATAGTGGGCTACACCTGCAGCCCCAACTCCTCACTTTTTTTTTAAACTATGGAGCCTAGGCTGACTTTGAACTCACATCAATCCTTCTGTCACAGGCACCTTCCTAAGTGCTGAGACGACATGTTTGAGCCACCACGTCCAGCTTTCAACCCTTTACCTTTTAAAGCAACAATACAAATGCTAGTAAATAAAGAAGTGACAAGGCAGTAATTAAATTAAACCAAAAAAGTATCTACTTTTAAGGAGAATAGTAGAGGGTGCATACACAGAATGCTTGTATGGGGAATCTTGATTTAGATTTATATGCATATAAATTGTTTTTCCTCTAAATTAAAGGATTGGTAGAAGCCAGGCATGGCAGCTCACACCTGTAATCCCAGCACTCAGGAATCTGAACAAGAGGACTGCTTAAAGTTCAGGGCCAGCATGGATTATATATGCAGTTTCTGGGTTACAGCATGAGATGTTACCTTAAAAAACCAAAACTGAGTCAGGCATAGTGTCATATGCCTGTAATCTCAGCACTTAGGAAATGAGAACAGGAGGCTATATAAGGGACTTCAGGTCAGTCTAGGCTCTAATGAGACCGTCTGGAAAAAATATAAGGAGATGGGGAGGGAAAGAAAAAATAATAATAGAAAAAGGGATACAATTCCAAAAATAATTTCCACTTGGAGATTTATTTTATCACAATCTTTAAAATAAGTACCTAAGAATTGATAAATTTAAAAATTATTTTTGTATGATGATTCTCAACCAGAGTGACTTTTTCCTATACAGAATTATTGGCGTTGTCTGAGATACTGTTTTGGTGTTATAGTGAGGCATCTGTTGTATAGAGTCCAGTTATTTTGTTAAATATTCTGTAAGATAACTTCATAATATTTTACTTGAAAGCTAAAAAATTATTCCAGAAAATAATTATATACTATATGCTAAAAAAAAAAAAAGTAGGGCTAGAAGAAAATATTCTAACCAGTCGCAACAGTGGAGACTTTCATTTTTTTAGAAGTATTGTTATTAGTGTAGCCAGAAAAAAAATCTTAAATTTCATAATTTTCTCTATTTTCTTCCTATGAAGTTAAAATTTTTAGCTTCAAATATGCTTTAAGCAGATATACTTTTTCTTAAATAATTATAAAAAAAAAGATTTATTTTTGTCTGGACCTGGTGCTGTATGCCTTTAATTCCAACACTTGGAAGAAATAGGTGGATTTCTGTGAGTTTGAGGACAGCCTCGGCTACCTAGTGAGTTCCAGGCCAACCAGAGATGCATAGAAAGACCTCATCTCTAAAATTTAAAGAAAAAGTTTTTACATGTCTGAGTATTTTCCTGCGTGTGTGTATGTGCACCACATGTGTGCCTGGTGCCCAGTGAGGTAAGAAGTGGCACCATACCCCTTAGAACTGGAGTTGTGAAAGGTTGTAAGTCACCATGTAGGTGCTGGGGACCTAGCTGTGCTGGGGGATGGTCTGTATGTCAAGTTGCTCTGATTGGTCAATAAATAAAACACCGATTGGCCAGTGGCCAGGCAGGAAGTATAGGCAGGACTAGCAGAGAGGAGAATTGAGAGAACAGGAAGGCGGAGGGAGTCACTGTCAGCCGCTGCCATGACAAGCAACATGTAAAGATACCGGTAAGCCACAAGCCACATGGCAAGGTATAGATTTATAGAAATGGATTAATTTAAGATGTAAGAACTAGATAGCTAGAAGCCTGAGCCATTAGCCCAAACAGTTTAAACAATATAAGTCACTGTGTTTACTTGGTTGGGTCTGAGTGGCTGTGGGACTGGCGGGTGACAGAGATTTGTCCTGACTGTGGGCCAGGTAGGAAAACTCTAGCTACAAGCTTGCTTCTTCAGCAAGAGCAGCAACTGCTCTTAATGGCTGATGCATCTCTCTGTCCCATGATAGAATACTGTGCACGATAGGAACTGAACTCCGGTCCCCTAGCAACAAAAACAG